TTAAGTTGCACTGACCTGTTCAAACACTTTTTAATGGAATGTTACCTTTTCTTTTCAGTAGCCTCAGAGGATGAAGAAATTACAGTCCATTTCTGGAATGGCAAAAAAGTGAAAGTACCACTAGGTGTGGCCTTATGGATTCCACCAAATTTGTGGGATAGGATTATAGATATGATCCACATGCCCTTCACCAGCAGTTTAAAGCTTATGGAAGCCCTCCAGAGCACTAGCTGTTGCAATTTGTGTTGCAGACCTCTGAAAACTCCTGTTCATGCATACACTTTAGATAGGCGTAGTGCATGCAGGTGGCCATGCACTATCACCTGGACCCCCTTCCACTGTCATTACCATAGTACATGCTGTTCACTGGCACATGCACAATGCATCTGCTACCACCATCCCAAAGTCAGTACCTGGTGGCCTATACCATCCAAGTCTCCACTACTTCTGAGAGACACTGAACAAAAACAGCCCGACAACAGTATCAGTATGAAACTTTTAGAATTGGAAGCTCCAAAAGAAGAAGAAGAATCAGCAGTTGTTGGTGCTGATGCTGGTGCTGCTGCCTCCTCCTCTAGCTCCTCTGATTCAGAAAGTGACTCAGAGATGTGCTTAACTAAGAGCATGATGGTGGACAGTGCTGTTAACACAGATTCTAGCCTTTTCGAAAAGTCCACGTTGAAAGATGCTGTGAAACCTCAGTGGAGATACTGGAAGAGAAGCCACCCCAAGTCACTTCCCCGGAGTCCAGGTAGAGCTCAATTCCCTCCTGGGGTGGCTGTCAATGGCTGCTGCTTTGCTGAAGGCATTCCATGTCCTTGGCAATCTGGTAGTCCTTTTTTTAGGGTCGGCTTGACTATCTCTCTGACAGGAGTGACAGAGACGTACCTGCATATGTGTATTTATGCCAGTAAATAAAGTAGAAACCAAACTGCATGTTTGTGTGGTGCACAGATAAAGGAAAAGGAAACAAGTAGACAATCTGACACACACCCTTTTCCTGCTACATGGAATTTAAAACAAAAAAGTCAGAGGGAATCATGCTAACAACACTTATTATGAATTTAATTTTTGCAATCTTACTTCATTAAAAAACCACAAACCCTGTTTTGGAGTTTCCATTAAGCATGACTTTAATTGGTATAGAAGCACGATGTGCATGTCACACGCATTTTCTCCCACCCCACATAACATTTCTCCCTCATCTCAGCCTCTTTCGGTACTTTTTTCTGGTGAAAAGCAACTAGGACTATTAACTGAGACCATGCAAGATAACTCTGGATTCCAGTGGTCTCCCTCCATGGCTTACCTTTTACCCTTAGTGACTACTCTGAGCTAGAGCCAATTTCAGAGCAAAATTGCACTTTCCTTCCTTGTTAAATGAATGTTTCTCTATATATTTTTAATTATTTTCACACACAACATTTCAGTGTTTTGCATGTTACCTGTTGTTTCATGGTCCATAGGAATCTGTGTTCCTAGCAATACATGGGCAAAGGACAAACTGAAATCCAAAACTATTTGTTTGGAGGCGTCACCTATTGCAGCAATCAACCAGAGTGCAATGTTTCAAACTACTGAACAGTCTCCTCGAAGACAACTCACAATGAAGGAAGCCTTAATCCACCAGAACTTCAAACCATCATTGGGGGTAAGATTATCTAAGGTATAGCAGCAATGTAATTAGGTGTATTCCATCCTTAAAAGGAAGAGACTTTGTAAATGTACTGGAGATTGATTGGAGAATTGTATGGTCCTAATATTACCCTTTGACTTGCTAAAACCATCCCCCCCCCAAAAAAAAAACACACCCCAAAAAACTACAGTGGGGAAGAAAGTCCTTTCCCAATACCAGACAATTGGAAAGGATCTGAACCCACTGTACTTGGTTTAAAAACTGGATCTGTAACCAGATAATCCAATCAATAGAAATTGATTTTAGAGTATAATCTCAATGCCTGCTGAAGCCAATGGCAGATGGACTAGATGACTACAAGATTGATGTGCTTCTGGCAATAGATAGCTCTGAAATTCAGGTGCATTAAAATACAAGGATTGGGTCTATTTTCTAGGGCTTTGCTATTCTTGTCTTTGCTTCTGCTGGGCAGCAATGTATTAATCTCACTCTGCAGGTGCCTCAAAGATCTGCCCTTCTGAAGTGTATGCACCTTTTAGAGTTGCAGGTACCTTGTATTCCTTAGCCTTTCTTGAACATTGCCCCTCAAAGCAGCACACAGTTTAGACTGAGGAATACTATGAGATTGTTCTAAAGGATACAGAATGCATACGCCAAGTCAGAAATAAGATGGACTAAAATCCTGGTTGTCAAGCTTACTTTCTATCACACACAGGCCATCCCTCCTTTAGAGAAATCTGGAGAAAATCAACACTGCAAGAGCACATGCATAGACCAGCAAAGGAAGCAGCAAGTCCTGCAGCAGAAAGAGGAATGTGAAGGGGAATGTCAGGCTGAACACAGATGCCACACTGCACTGGAAATCTGTGGGTACATTACACAGGTTATATATCTGAGGCCAGCTATTTTCTCCTCTGGACCTTCTGATACCCGAGTAAAGCACATGATAAACTGTACATGCTAAACTTACAAGGTGTTTATTTGCCAAAGACCTGTTCTGCACACACTAGTGTGCACTTTTTAAAAAGAACCCAATAGTTGTAATTACTGGGTATTTTTCCTATTTCCAACATTTCTAGTTTAATCAATCAAATATATACAATATATATATATTATCTGTATCAGGGCACTGAGGCAGCCCATGAGGCTGCTTGCAGGTGGCAGGGGAGAGCTAATGAGGGACCTGATTGGAAGAGGGCTCAGGCTGGAGCTATGTAAGCCCAAAGCCTGCACTGATCAGGCAGTCTCGCCCCAGCAACCACAAAGTGAGGAGCTCCTGGCTGCAGGGCTCCTAAGGGACCTGGATTTTTTTGAATGACTTTGCGAGCCTGGAAATAGAGGCAAATTCCCTGGGGTGAAAAGGACTGGGCTTTTACAGGCAAGTGGCCTTTGTTTATGTTAAGCCCCTGGAGGGTTTGAAGTTTCTGCCAGAGGGCTGAGATGCTTCTTATTTATTTAAGTTACACTGAGAGTTTAGCCTTGAGCCCTGTGGTGGCCAGGCTCAAAGCCTATTTAGAGAGCTGGCAATCCAGGTGCCCACAGACTGGGAGCGAGGCCAAGTAAGGGGTCCAGCAGCTTAGGAAAGGCTTAGACCCAGACCAGACGGTCCATGAGCCCCAAGCAGGCTAAGCTGGACTAGAGGGTCTGAGAGCCCAGAGGAGAGGGCTGCATGCAGGACCAGGGGTCTGAGAGCCTGGAGGGGCTGTGTGCAAGACCAGAGGTCCAAGAGCTCAGAGGGAGACTGTGTAGGGGGTCAGGGGTTTGAGTGTAAAAGTAGTTAGTGTCAAAGAGAAAGAACACCCATGAGGCTTGGGGCATGATGTAGGGGAGAAAACAGAGCCACGCATTGAGCCCCTAAGGCTGCTGCTGCCTTAGAGGGGCATAGATACACATATAGCCCTTGAAGCTACAGGGGCCCTGCAGGTGCACAGGCCAGCCAAGAGGGGCTATTGAGCTTAAGGGTCAAATCAAGGCAGTTGAGGGTCCAGGAGGAACCCAGTGGTACTAAAAGTGGACTAAGGTTCACTAAGGGCTGTGGGCAGCCTCCCTTATTTAACCTCTAGTAAGATCAAGGCATGGCAGGGGAGTAATTAAGTGAGGGCTGTAGTAGAAGTTGAGCCAGGCACAGATCACACAGCCACCAGGGGGATTCACAGCCACTCCTGGGGTACAAACCTGCCACATTATGTTCTTTCATAACTGATGTAATTGCACAGAAAAACTGTTGTTTTTAGATCTGATACAAGTGCTGAACTCCTAGCATGCCATACATTAGTGGCTAATGGTAGATCACATCATATATACCTCTACCAATTCTAGACAAAGTGACTTAAGAGCAAACAGGCAGATGGACAGGACTTGAACATGAACTCCTGCATGATACATAAGTTTTGCTGCATCAGTACTTTAAGCTTTGGAAGTTGGACCTCATGTTCATAAAGACTAGAAAGTATCCACATGAAGAGACTTCCCTCATTTGTGGATGTGTGTGCTATTACTCGCAGCACTGGTGGCAGTAACAGAAAGCACACTTAAACTCCAAATGATTAGCAATTAAAAGGACAGCCCCCAAAATATTTGAGTGTTGTGGATGCAAGTCAGTGTGACTGTTCCCTCCACAAAAGGCAGCTGAAGTACAGTTCTGCCTTGTAGTTAAAGGTACCAGCTAAAGAGCCTGTGTTCTTTAAAAATATACAACTGTAAGGAACTAGAACTTTAAAGGTAGGATTTTCAAATGCATTAAGTGTTATATTAACTTTTATACATCAAAAGGTAATAAACAAACAATCTCACGCTGACTTTGATGGGATGAGAATTAAGCCAACAATGAATAGTTCTAAAATTCTATTAAAGGTTTTGTTATTTTGCAGCAACAGTTAACACGGAAATGTTAAAAGCTCATACTTGTATAAAATTAGTTCCGTTAGGTTCCACCTTATGCTGAGGGCAAGACGGCTGTTACAGAAACAGCAACTGTTTTCCACTGCAATATTTAATTCACTAGGGTTTTTCTCTTGTCAAGAGAAATGATGGTGAAACATCTTGAGCAGGAAGACATGAAGCAGAGCCAGATAACAAAAGCAAAGCAACTTGGGCAGCAGAGAAGAAACCTGAAAATACAGACCATGTCAGAGACAGATAGGCACAAAGAACAGCAGAGACTAACAAACCTGGAAACAGGTCAGAGAGAAACATGATCAGAAGGAAAGGAATAAGTGTACAGCTGAAGAAGTCAGCGATACAATCTCAGGTAAACCACATTATTTATATAAAGTATGGTTTTCTTCTACAGATCCGGCCTGCAAGGCCTTTCTACATTCCCAACAAGTACAATTTGTAGGTGGCTGGATTACCTCCGGGTTTGAGGTATTAGGCGGTTTCCACCTAAATGGAATCATGGTACCTTCACTCTCCTCTCCAGGGGTAGGTAGTTTTTGCCACCTTCTACATGACTTGAAGATCCACCTGTCTTGGGAACAGAAGTAAAACAAATAATAGTACTAGTAGCTTGAACATGTGAAAGACAAGATTCTAATAAGCCTCCAATTTATTCTAAGTCTCCAAAAGAGGCTGCCAAGAGTTTATAATTCTCCTTTTTGGGGAGCCAGCAGATGAGTGGAAAGACAGAATGAGCTAATAGAACAAAGGTATCGTAAAAGATGAAAAGCAAAGTATGAAGGAGAAGCTACAACAGATAAAAACCACCAATACTTGGAGAGAACCACCATCCCTGTGCTAAATGTATATTGGCCTTATTTAATACCTCACAAATTAAAATCAACCAAAATCTTAGTCGAGGAAAAGTCTGCATATATCCAGTCCAAAAAAAAAATCTTTTTTATTTATAGATATCAATTCAGCAAGATATTTAAGCATAAAAGAAGTCTCTTCAGAAGGCTGCTTCTTCAGGGGCTTAATGAATAAATGTCATTGGATTATGTTTTACTCAGTTTAGTGAAAGTAAAAATACAGTGAATTCTTTCAGGTAGCCATAAATGGATTTATTCTCTTCAATTATAAATAATGCATGGTTTAGCTTGCATTCCTGAGACAACCCATCCTTCGTATTAGAGAGTGTCCAGTGAGCAGGTACAGAATCCTACGTGGCACACTGCAAACCAGATTCTGGGCTGATGTAAACCATCTTAGGTTCATCAAAGCTTATGCTGGTCTGCACCAACTGAGAATTTGGCTCTTTACATTCAAAGAATTACAGCTTGACTCTGCATTGCTGCTTAGTAGGGCTGTGTGAAATTTCATTAACTGTTTCATTTCGGAGGTGTTTCGGGCCATTTCAGCACACAAAATACTGAATCTGAATTGAAACGGAAGGCTCTGAAACATTTCAGAAGTGGTTCAGACAATTTTGGAGTTTCAGAGCTGAGCTTGCAGGGAAACAAAAACTAAGAAGGAGGGGAAAGGGGCAGGGGGAAGGACTTTTGAAGTCCTACTTCCCACATAGTTTAAAAGGGCCTGCCAAAGGAAAAAAGCCCCAGAGAGGCTTAGGGAGCAGCGTGAGACGCACAGGTGAAAGCCCATCGCACCCCTGCACCCCAAAGCCCCCCAGCGATTCCCAACTGCTGCGGAGCGCCCCCGCTGACCCCCAGCAGCAGTCGGAGGTAAGCAGGGCCTGTGATGGGAAGGGACTAGCCCAGCTCAGCTGAGGGAGGCAGCTGAGTAGGAACTGGGGAGGGTCTTGCCCCGTTCCGCCCCCTACTTCACTCAGCCCCCCAGGGAGCCACGCGACCAGGCGGCGCAAACAGGAGTTAGCATAGAGTTCGCGCAGGAGAGCGAGCGGGAAGGCCCACAGCCCTGCCTGTGAGCCCCCCTAGGGAAGCCA